ACCAGGGAAAGTATTTTCATGAAAAGGTTTAAGCAGTGCCACGTGAAACACCGGATGTATTTTCATGGAATCCGGAAGTTGCAGACGGAAGGTGACTGCATTGATCTGAGCGATTATCTTAAAAGGTCCCATGAACTTTTGACCCAATTTATGAGAAGGAATCCTAAGCTTAAGATTCTTTGTTGACAGCCAAACCTTGTCACCAACATGATAAACTGGGGCCTCCTTTCTGTGCCTATCAGCAGCTCTTTTGTAACATTCCTGAGCCTCCGAAAGAGTCTCCTTCAACAGTTCTTGGGAATCTCGTAAGGCGGTTAGCCGGTCAGTGACTGCAGGAATGGGAGTAGTAATTGGGAGACTCACTAGAAAGGTTGGATGGTAACCATAATTGGCAAAAAATGGGCTCAGAGAAGTGGAGCAGTGTTGGGCGTTGTTATAGGCAAACTCCGCCATGGGTAGAAAATCCAGCCAGTTATCCTGCAGGTAACTAATATAGCACCGCAAATATTGTTCTAAAGTCTGGTTGGTTCGCTCAGTCTGTCCATTACTTTGTGGATGAAAAGCTGAAGACAGATTTACATTAATACCTAGAATAGAACAAAAATATTTCCAAAAATGAGATGTAAACTGCACTCCCCTGTCAGAAATTACTTCATCAGGCACTCCATGCAAGCGAAATATTTCCCAAATAACAAGGTCAGCAGTCTGTTTAGCTGAAGGGAGACCACGAGCTGGTATGAAATGACTCATCTTGGTTAACCGGTCCACAACAACAAGAATGGTAGTGTGTTCCTTAGAGGGAGGTAGTTCCACAATAAAGTCCATGGATATAGATCCCCAGGGACGATGAGGAATCGGAAGAGGCTGAAGCAAGCCAACAGGGGATGAGCGAGGAGTCTTATGTCTGGCACATACATCACAAGAGGACACATACTTCTTAACATCCTCATAATATTTAGGCCACCAAAAGGATCGGGTAAGTAGTTCTTGTGTCTTTCGGATTCCTGGATGACCTGCTGGTTTAGAGTCATGGTAGAGGCGTAAAACGTCCAGTCGCACTGATTCTGGAACAAACAGACGTTGTTGAAAAATCCAAAACCCATTAAGCATGGTCATATGAAGATCACGAGGAGGATCACGAAAAACTGGATCTTTAGAGTAGCCCTTTTTAATGCGAGACATTAGATCAGAAGGAAAGGTAACTCCTAAAAATCTGCTCTCCGGCAAGATGGTGGCCTTGGTTACTGTAGTATGGAGGGGGTCAGCTATCCTAGACAAGGCATCCGCCTTGCCATTTCTGGAACCAGGGCGGTATGAAATAAAAAATTAAACCTTGAGAAAAATAGGGACCAGCGTGCTTGTCTGGCTGACAGTCTCTTAGCGGATTGGATACATTCCAGATTTTTGTGATCTGTGAGGACAGTAATTGGATGGGTGGCTCCCTCCAAGAGATGTCTCCATTCGGTGAAGGCAGCTTTTATAGCCAAAAGTTCTTTATTCCCTATGTCATAATTTCTTTCTGCTGGTAACATCTGGCGGGAATAGAAGGCACATGGATGTAACAACATCTTAGGTCCAGTCCTTTGAGATAGTATAGCCCCAACAGCTGAATCAGAAGCATCTACCTCTACAGTAAATGGCAATTCTGGCTGAGGATGTACCAAGATAGGGGCAGATGTAAACAGAGTCTTTAATCTGGAAAATGCAGTGTCAGCCTTATTGGACCACTGAAAAGGAGTCCCTTTACGTGTAAGTTCAGTGATCGGTGTAATAACGTGTAAAAAACTAGATGAATGGATGTTAATGTAGACTCTTTCTTAATTTCTTCTTGTCTTCAGTTGATTGATATATATACGTCTTTTGTATATATATTCTTGGGCCAAATGCTCACCACAATAATATATGTCTATATTATTGAAAAGTAGTAATACGTAATCTGACTTACGGTTTCTTCAGGTTTATTCTTAGTTACGGATACATAAAACAACTTATGATGTTACAGGATAATGGACATTCAACAGCAGATGGTAATTGCTGGACTTCTGATGGGAGAGTTACATCGTTGTACAGAGCCAAGCCAAGACAGAGACTGACTGACCTCGTGTCCCTCTGTTACTATAAGGAAGTGCTAATACTAACGTCAGCATATAACTCTAGCCATATAAGGACAAAACCCCACATCCACATTCCAGAGCTCTCGGACAAAGAAAGCCTTGTGACTTATTGATACCATCTGTTACTTATGTCAATCCACACATCCATATATAATCAATAGAAACATAGAATATGCAATATTCTACATTCCCTCTGTTTATGGTTTGTTTTAAAACCATAACACAATGTAACTAACCTGTCCATTCATACATCACTTGTATCACATTCATTGAGCATAGAACAAGATGAAGTCACAACTTTCTATTATATGAGAGTTCTTAGAAGGTCGAGTTTCTATCCCTCATACTGCTTACTTTACTTCAAACTCCCTCTGTTTCAGCTATGTATTGATATCCATATCCATGTTACATCATAACTACTTGAACATAATATATACATATATCTAACAATAATAAATGAATAAAATAAAATATTTACAAATGTTGATCCAATAAACAATGCATAGCAATCAGAAAGATCTACCTGCTCTGGTACAGTCGTATCTTTGTAGATAACAAAATCAAGATCGTAACTTTCTAAATAATAATAACTGTGTTTCACTATCATATTCCTAATACAGACACATATAACAAAGTATTTTCATTCTCAATACCTGATATTACTAAAGTACTAATACATGTATTACTATAATACACATCCACTTATATTTCCATGAATCATATGGTTTCTAGCAACCTTAAAATCTTTAGGTCATTTGTATTCACGAATTACATTCCTATACCATTAATACCACCTAGTGATGATTGTATCAGTACTTTACAATCATAGTATTTAATTTGTATATTCAGTAGGCTCTCACTAACTGAAATATACCAACACTACTTATAAGTCTCATTCAAAGGATGTGTTATCAACCATGTTCTATAATAATTCTTCAAATAATGTTCATGGTGTTGACAATACTTATTGTCCTAGAAATTCTCCACCCAGAAATCTTTCTATCATAGATTTCTTTTTGTTCACATAATTATAATTTTGACTAAAATTCCACCTTGTAGTAACAAACTTTACATTCAATAGAAACATAGTTTACTCTAAAAGAACTTGGAAAGAATAATTTAAATTCATTAGCATCACTCTCTTCATTAGCATTGTGATGACTTATTAATGTAATACATCTTAAAAGCAGGATTGACCTAATGTTCTGACCAATCCATAATCCTTAGTACACTTCAACTGACTAAAATAAAATAAACAAAAATAAACTTGGGGTCATACTGCCCAGAAACTCTTATTCCTAGTCTGTGTCTAACAAACTCAGGGTAATCATAAACAACTTAACAATGTATTCATTGGATACCATCATATCCAGAAACCTATTCTCCCTAGTCCATACCTTTATAGACTTAGGTCAAATATAATTGTGTACTATACTCTTTCCATTCAATTCAATTCCTCTTGGATCTCTGAACTCTTATATCCAATGCATTCTTAATGTATACTATTACTTAATATTAATCAATATAAATTATCCTTCCTTAGTTTTCTTCCTTTTGTTACCATTGTTTGTTTTACTTCACCTCGATTATAAACAAATTACTCATTATAGTTAATCTATGAAATACTATTGAACTCAATCTTTGTGATATTAAGTAACCATGATCCTTATTTTATCGACTTCATATTTTATCTACCTCTGATACTTCTCATTCTATGTATAGGTCATAATGTAATAGTTCTCTCCATAATACTATCCTTTCGTAATTTTACTCCATGTGTTATATAGCTATAAGTAGTCTCTCTTGGTATTAATACTCATAACTGTTAAATAACTTTTCATTGTCTGTTTTCTTCATTAATATTTAGGAATATATATGTATGTTAGTGCCAATCTTTTATTTCTTTGTAAGTCTGTTAATCTTCTGTATCGAATGAACTCTGTAGAATCTTCCATCACAGTTTGCAGATCAGATGAAAAGTCTCTTTCCTACAGTCGATGTCCAGTTATCTGAAGGAATTCTTTCCTGATTTATTGCCACAAGGATCTGTCACGCTTTACCTACATTAAAACAAATAACATGTGCAGCATCAATACAATGGCTTACAATGTTTATATCTCATTATTATTACACAGTTTAACATTGAATCATATTGACTACACAAAACATACTCATATCTTCTCATGAGATCTACCATCTAGTGGTCATTACATTTATGCCATGTGATGTATAATCTTTAAATTTCCTTATATTAAAATCTTTCTGAACATGTAAATTCTCAATTCTCAAACTTTTTATTACTCATACCCCCCTTTTAAACTGTTTAATAATCTGGAGGTATAACCTAATCACATATCAGATGTTACAACAAAATATTGTTTTCCACTATACTTTAGCAATAGCAGCCATTTTGTCTTAACACTGGCACCATTTTGTCACATGAAACAAACTACAAAAACATATATTGTTTCCTTCATCAAATGTATTTGTAAATCTAGGTTTTATTCTATCAAACCTTTTGTCTTCTATGTAGTCAAAACATATGTATGTCCAGGCTTTGCAAAATATAGTAATCCATTATCAGTCATGATATTAAAATCTCATTCTCATGAATTAAATCAAAGATTTTAAATCAACCTCAGAAACAACAACATTGTTTTTTCTTCTGTAAAATGATTGGAGTTACTGTATAATTGCATACACCCAATATAACATACATTGCATGATCCTAACTGCTACATTAGTGTATCTCATTCTGCCATATTTGCAAACTTGATGTAAATTTTTACTTTAATTAGTTAACCTAATACTTTCTTATAACACACATAAAAACAATGAAAGACAGTACAGACTAACAATTCATTAAAACAACAAACTAACATAGATCTCTATTCTTGTGCTGTTCTTAATTCTGGAATCAGCCTGTGTACATCTGTTGGCACACATATCCATGCTCATTCCCTAAACTAATCATATCTCTTGAAGTTATCTGATTCTTATAACTTTCTGTGTTACACTGCATTGCTTGTCTGTCTCCTAATTTTGATTTAGCTAAAATTGTTCTTATTTGTCTGATTATAAGTTTACAAGGAAAGGCCTTTATTGATTTATCTCCACGTGTATTTTCTCTGTCAAAATTTTCAATCAACAAATTTAATTTCTCATTTGCTTTTGATTTGATATCTCGGATAAAATATCTGCAAGATCTTAAATAATGTTGTTTGTTGCACCAAAAACAAATAACTTTAGGAGTTATATTTTGCCCTATATTATCAACTCTACAGTTTTTAGTTGAATAAATTGGGAGGGGCTCAGCTGTCTGTATCACTCTACACTCTGTCCTAGAAGAAGAAGAAGGAGGGGGACGAGGGCTGTAACATCTGCACTTCTTTCTCTGCCTAAATCCACAAGTCATTTTAACCCCTTCATTATTGGTTTCCCTCCTTAAGTTATCCAAGAACAAAGCTACTTCTGTCAAAGTGCTTTTTTCTCTAGCTAACACAATTGCAGTTGGATCTAGATCTTGAAATTTTTTCACAAATTCATTAATTAACTGATCTTCAGAAAAATCAGCAACAAGTCTATATGCATTTTCAAATTTTACAAGAAAACTAAAAATATCCTCTCCTTTGTGTGGTTTTAGTTTTTCCAACATTTCAGTGTCTGCAAAATCATTCCCTGTTAATTTTATTAATTGTGTTAATCTGTCTCGCTTATTTCCATATATTATTTCATCATTGTCCTCACATTTTACAAGCGCGGTCAGCCTACATGCCATTTGAGTCGGCAGCCATATTTGAAATAGTCTATTCCTTTGTTCGTCATTTAGGCTGTATTTGTCTAAATTAGACTCAAACATTTCAGCATTAGTGAATGCATCCACTGACGTGTCATAAACTGGAATACATTTCACAATTTTCATTAATTGTTCATGGATTTTCAAATTAAGTTTTGCAGTTCTGTCTTGAAATTTACATTTCTGCAAATCACTCTGTGAGGATACATTTTCAGTATCTGTTAGTTCTGGGATTAGATTCTGTGCTTGTATTTTTCTTGTATTAACACACACTAGTTTAACTTCATTTCCAAGCTGGCAAATAAGATCATTTCTTAATTCAACTCTATCCTCTAATTCACAGACTTTTTCTGACAATGTTCTCTCTGTTACATTGTTACACTGTTCATTTAAATCTGATTTGTCTTCTGTTAACCCATTCAAATCTACTTCTTTTTCTGCTGATTCTAAATTGTCTTTACCTGCATTTCGTTTACAAATCAATGCATTGTAAGTACAGACTAGTTTCATAACATTTCTGATCTTTTGTTTTTTCTTATTAACAAACAATTTCTTGTCAATTTCACTATTGGCAATTTCACATTGTGTGTATAAAGATTGCCACAATACAGCATCTGAATAGCTGCTATTAAATGCAAACTGCAATTTACTTTTCTCTGCAATATCATTTATGAATTCCATGTTACTCACCAGATCAGTTATTTCTGTCTATTTCGTTGCTTCATCCACACAGCTGCGCAGTTCTGGACGCTTGATTCTGGACGCGTGCCAATCTCTGCCACGTGCTTGCTTCTAGAATTCACGTTGTATCTTGTGCTTTTTGTCTCAGTTGTAGAAAATAGTCTTGTACAGTCTTTGATTTGAAAACTTTCCTTTTCTTACAAACCACCGTTCTTCTATGCTAATCTAGATTCTTTTTTTCTCTTCAAGTTTGTTTTCCCAGTTCCAAAATAGCTTTGTAACTCGATTCTTCTCTCTCCCCCCTTGAAGTGGGAACAAAACTTGAATAGAAGACTGGCAGGCTAGCCAATGTAAAAAACTAGATGAATGGATGTTAATGTAGACTCTTTCTTAATTTCTTCTTGTCTTCAGTTGATTGATATATATACGTCTTTTGTATATATATTCTTGGGCCAAATGCTCGCCACAATAATATATGTCTATATTATTGAAAAGTAGTAATACGCAATCTGACTTACGGTTTCTTCAGGTTTATTCTTAGTTACGGATACATAAAACAACAAATGATGTTACAGGATAATGGACATTCAACAGCAGATGGTAATTGCTGGACTTCTGATGGGAGAGTTACATCGTTGTACAGAGCCAAGCCAAGACAGAGACTGACTGAGAGACCTCGTGTCCCTCTGTTACTATATAGAAGTGCTAATACTAACGTCAGCATATAACTCTAGCCATATAAGGACAAAACCCCCCACATCCACATTCCAGAGCTCTCGGACAAAGAAAGCCTTGTGACTTATTGATACCATCTGTTACTTATGTCAATCCACACATCCATATATAATCAATAGAAACATAGAATATGCAATATTCTACATAACGGCAGAGAAATTCTTAATGAAACGCCTGTAAAAATGGGCAAACCCCAAAAATCTCTGTATATCTTTTTCATTCTTGGGGATGGGCCAGTCCAGCACAGCTTTAATTTTACTTGCGTCCATACTTAAACCTTTAGGAGTTATTACATACCCCATGAACTGAATTTCTGTTTGTTCAAACTCACATTTTTCCAGTTTAATGTATAGGTGGTGGGTACGAAGGCGCTCAAGAACAATGCAGACCTGTTTTCTGTGATTTTCAAGATTATCAGAAAATATCAGGATATCATCCAAATATGCCATAACAAACTGATCCAGGAGATCCCGTAGTACATCATTGATTAGATGCTGAAAAGTAGCAGGGGCATTACAAAGCCCAAATGGCATTACTAGATATTCGTAATGTCCGTACCTGGTTCTGAAAGCTGTTTTCCATTCATCATTTGGTCTTATGCGAACCAGATTATATGCCCCCCGTAGATCAAGCTTCGTAAATATTTTAGCTGAACGAAGTCTCTCCAGAAGTTCAGGAATGAGAGGCAAGGGATAACGTTTTTTAACAGTGATTTTATTAATGTCCCTGTAATCGACACATGGCCGTAGACTGCCACCTTTCTTTTCTACAAAGAATATAGGAGCTCCTGCTGGAGAAGTGGATGGTCGAATAAAGCCTTTGGCAAGATTTTCTTGTATGTATTCACGAAGTGCTTTCAATTCAGGCTCAGAAAGGGAGTACATACGGCCAAATGGGATAGCAGCTCCAGGTAGCAGCTCTATGGGGCAATCATAAGGCCTGTGAGGTGGAAGCTGATCAGCATTCTTCTTATCACAGACAGGGCCGCCATCAGGGGGTGACAACCATAACGGTTGTCACGGGCCCGGCGGCCCTGGGGGGCCCGGCCGCCCGGCCCCCACATGTGGGGACCATCGGGTGGCCCACACACTTAGGGCCACCCGATGGGCCCTATATCTTCAGTGGGAGGAGCGCGCGCCGGTGAAGAAGGAGAGCCAGGCAGTGAAGAGAGAGCCGCACCGACTCCCATCATCCCCAGCCACCCTCCTGCAAAGAAAAGGTAAGAGACAGGAGGGTGGCTGGAAAATGAGCTGTGTGTGTGTGTCTGTATGCATGTCTGTCTGTCTGTCTGTCTGTATGTATGTATGTGTATGTCTGTCTGTAGGCATGCATGTATGTATGTCTGTCTGTCTCTGTATGTATATCTCTCTGTATGTATGTCTGTCTGAATGCATGTCTGTATGTATGTCTGTGTGTATGTCTATGTATGTATGTCTGTCTGTATGTATGTGTATGTCTCTATGTCTGTCTGTAGGCATGCATGTATGTCTATGTATGTCTGTCTGTCTGTCTGTATGTATGTCTGTCTCTGTATGTATATCTGTCTGTATGTATGTATGTATGTCTATGTATGTATGTCTGTATGTATGTCTGTGTGTGTGTGTCTGTATGTATGTCTATGTTTGTCTGTCTGACTGTATGCATGCATGTATGTCTATGTATGTCTGTATGCATGCATGTATGTCTATGGATGTATGTATATCTGTCTGTATGTATGTCTATGTATATATATGTATGTCTGTATGTCATTATATATGTATGTCTGTATGTCAGTATGAATGTATGCCTGCATATCATTATGAACGTATGTCTGTGTGTATATGTGTATGGATGTCTGTATGCATGTATGTCTGTATATATGCATGTATGTCAGTCTGAATGTATGTATGTCTGTATGCCATTATGAATGTATGTCTGTTTATGTCTGTATGCCATTATGAATGTATGGATGACTGTATATGTCTGTCAGTATGTCTCTGTGTGTGTATGTATGTATGTCGGTGTCTGTATGTATGTATGTATGTGTCTTTATGTCCTCATGCATGTGTGTCTGTATGTATGTTAGTATGTGTCTGTCTGTCACTATGTATGCCTGTGTGTATGTCTCAGTATGTATGCCTGTATGCGTGTATGTCTGTTTCAGTATGTGTGTCTGTTAGTATGTATCTCTGTCTTTTTGTATCAGTGTGTGTGTTTGTGTCTGTGTGTATATTCCTGTGGGCGGTATTTGAAGGCGGACCCAGTGGGCGGTATTTGGAGGCGGGCCCCAGGGGGCCCAGACCCTGAGCTGAGTTAGGGGCCCCAAAATTTCTGGTGGCGGCCCTGATCACAGACATCTGCAAAATCCCAATATTGTAGCGGAAGCTTAGTTAAGTTTGTAGCAACCATTTCATTAATTGTTGTGGTAACAGGTGTCGCCTTAGAGGGTTGACAATTCATTAAGCAGTGTTCTGAAGGAAAGGACAAAGTTCTAGTCTTCCAATCAATCTGTGGGTTATGCAGAGCAAGCCAGGGTATACCCAAAATCACTGGAAACTGTGTTGAGGAAATTAGGTGGAAAGATATATACTCATGGTGATTCACTTCCAGAATCAATTTTAAGGGCACAGTCTCATGTGTAACCGGGCCTGACGTAAGTGGAGAACCGTCTACTGTTTCCATTAACACAGGTGAAGATTTAGGGATAGACTGAATTTTATTTCCTGCTGCAAATTTAATGTCCATAAAGTTTCCGCCTGCTCCAGAATCTATCATAGCTGTAGTTGAAATTTTATTATCACCATATTGCAAAGTGATAGGCACCACTAAATGAGGATGTTGAGTCATCATACCTTCTTCACCCTGAGCCAGAGAAAACAAGGGTTGTGTGACAGAATCCAGTTGGTCTGAAATCTGGGATTGGTGTTGAATCTGTGCACCCTCAGCACTCATAGCTATTGTTCTTTTAGACTTGTTAGGGCAATTGATGGCATAATGCCCTGCACTACCACAATACAGGCATAAGTTGTGAGTGCGTCGCCACTGTTTTTCTTCATTGGATAATGGCCCTCTTATTAGATCTACCTGCATAGCCTCAGGTTCAGAGTCTGTAGGTGTTTGTGGGGTCGGAGTAGAAATTCTTGAATAGAAAGTAGGAGTAGCACTTGGTTTAAAAGAGCCCTGTCTTTCCAATCTTCTTTCTGAAAGTCTCCGATCAATACGGATAGCCAACCGCACAAGTGCATCAAACTCAACAGGAAGATCAACACGAGCTAGCTCATCTTTTATAGCTTCTGAGAGACCCCTTCTGAAGTGGAACCTCTGGGCTGATTGGTTCCAAGTAGTATCAGTAACCCACTGTCTGAATTCAGCAGCATATTCAGCCACAGAGCGCCTCCCTTGATGTAAATGAAGGAGAGTGGCTGCTGCTGTAGCACAGTGATTGGGATCATCAAAAACTAGGCACATGGCCTCAAGAAAGTCTTTTAAATTTCCCAAGACTGGACTGTCCTGTTCCAGAAAAGGGGAGCCCCAGGCCAGGGCTTCATCTTTGAAGAGGGAAAAAATAAATCCCACCTTCTCTCTTTCAGATGGAAAATGGTTAGGTAACATCATGAAATGCAAACGGCATTGATTTAGGAAACCCCTGAATTTTTTGCGGTCTCCTCCAAATTTTTCTGGTAGAGGCAAGCGGGCATCTTGTGCAGGTGTAACAGTAGTAGTAGCAGCAGCCGCAACATCATGTGCCCTGTAGCTGGTAAGCTCACTATGCATTGATCGAACTTCATTTTGCAGTTCAGCTACCTGATCCTGCAGCACTTGAAT